CATGCATTTCATTTTCATTACCGCTAAACATGGGTCAGTCCCACTAGTGAGTATTTTATTTTGCACCGCCACTAGCCGTTGGGTCAGTCCCACTAGTGAGCCTTTCATTTACATCGCCACTAGCCGTTGGGTCAGTCCCACTAGTGAGCACTTCATTTACATCGCCACTAGTCGTTGGATCAGTCCCACTAGTGAGCCTTTCATTTACATTACCACTAGCCGTTGGGTCAGTCCCACGAGTGAGCACTTCATTTTACATCGCCACTAGTCGTTGGATCAGTCCCACTAGTGAGCCTTTCATTTACATTACCACTAGCCGTTGGGTCAGTCCCACGAGTGAGCACTTCATTTTACATTGCCACTAGCCGTTGGGTCAGTCCCACTAGTGAGCATTTCAGTTTGCACCGCCACTAGCCGTTGGGTCAGTCCCACTAGTGAGTCTTTCATTTACATCGCCACTAGCCGTTGGGTCAGTCCCACTAGTGAGCCTTTCATTTACATTGCCACTAGCCGTTAGATCAGTCCCACTAGTGAGCCTTTCGTTTTGCATCGCCACTAGCCGTGGGTCAGTCCCACTAGCGTGCATTTCATCTTTATTGCTACTAAACATGGGTCAGTCCCACTAGTGTGCATTCCGTTTAAATTTCCTATTCGGGTCAGTCCCATGATTTTAAATTTTGTTCGGGTCAGTCCCATGTTTAAATTTTCGTTCGGGTCAGTCCCGTGTTTAATTTCTCGTTCGGGCCAACCTCGTTTCAAATTTTTCGTCTGGGTCAGTCTGTTTTAAATTATTTTTGTTAAAGGGGTCAGTTCTCATTTCAAAAACGGCAGTCGTTCGAGTAGTTTGCAGCCGAATAACACAAGTGAGTATTTAGTGTCTACTTTTTTGTCTTGAGTTTCTTCGAAACTCAGACAAAGAGGGGCAAACTGTAGACACCAAATTTTTAGTGTATTTTTTTTGTTTACTATTATTTTTATTTTTTATGTTAGTTTTTATTTACTTTTAGTCTTTTATTTTTATTTTTTAGCATAGAATTTATCGGGAAAAAAGAAAATCATTCACAAAAATATGCTTTAGTTTTTTTTTAGACTCAAGTTCGTTCTTATTTAATTAAAAAAAAATTAGCATTTCATTTTTATCTTTTTATGCCTAGTTTCATTTTATTCAATTTTACTTAAGTTGTTTTTTTTCTTTATATTTTTGTTTATTATTATTTAACTAAAAAAAAAAGAAGCAAGCTCACGTGGGTGAGCTGCACAGGATCCAAACTCTTTCTATGTATCTCATTCAGACACAAACAAAATTGCAGCGGCTTCCGGGGGATTCCAGCAAAAATCATCAGACGGCTCTAAAAAGCGGGAGAAAATGCAGCTTTATCCGATACCCTTGCTGTGAGGGTTTGAAGTTGTGGGTTGGGTATAAATAGAACAAAGAATGACGCAGCTGAAGAGGTTGGCGGCTGAGGGGGAGGAGCGACTAGGGTTTAGAAAAAAAAAGAATGCAGCTTTAAGGAGGATTGGAGAAAAAGAGGGGGAGGAAAAATGGCGGCTGAGAGAATCTAGGGAGAATGAGGGAAGCTTAGGGCGGCGGAAGGAAGAAAAACTAAAAGAGAAACCGAGAGAGAGGGGACAGAGAACGAGGGAGAAACAGAAGCTAGGGTTCTAGGAAACTGAGAACGAAAGGGAAAATCATAAGGCAAGGGAGGAGGGAGATCGAAGGTTTCATTATTTTCTGGAGCTGTTCAAACGAAGCTTTTTCCCTATTCCGTTTGTCTGTTGGAGGATACCATACATCAGGGTCGGAATTGCAATGCAAGAGTAAGCTCTTTTCCTCTTAGTTAGGATACAAGTATGTTCAGATTTTTGGCTTTCGTTTATCATGCTACTGTGAGGAGTCGAAAAATGAGTTCTTGCTGATTTATACTCCATTACTTGGCTCCCTTCTAGTTGGCAGGGATTGTTTGCAGTGGTTCCCTTACGTTTTACTTATAAAGATGCTTCCTTTCTTTTGTTTTATTTTATCCTGGCTGCCTAATGGTTCTTCGCTAGTGGTTTTATCTAGAATTTACTTACTCTTCCTAAGAGCAAAGAACTTGATTGACGTTTTGGTACGTTGCTGCAAAAATTGAACAATGTTTACATGGGTCTGTTTCGAATAACCTTTCGGTTCTGCTTTGTTTCATGGCGTGGTAGTGGTGATTCATACAGAAAACATGAAACCCATGCTATTTTGATAATTTGTTGTGTCTAAGGAAATGTCCATTCCCAGTGTTAGAAAAATAAAGCCTTGTTGGATTTTGTTTGTGAAATCTGGGTCTTTGTTTGTTTGGGGTTAAGAGCGTAAAAGCTGCTGCAACAAGTTTCAAAGCCCTCGGCTTGTTGCAGCAGCGTAGAGAGACCCTATTTCTTTCCTTTGGTTTTTTAAGTTTATGTGAGTTTGGGGCTGGTGAGATTACAGGTTTGGTTAGAGTTTCTACATGGACACAATCGCATGAGACGAGCTGCAAAGTTGCAGCAAGAATCTGATCTTGTGGCTATTCTCTGCTTTGATTCCTTTCGTTTGCATGACTAATTTTTTTGTATGTGATGATGGTCTTATGGAAGCTAATAAATATTGAGTTTGAAGCCTCGTTTGAGTTGTTTGGGTAACTAATGGGAAGCCTTGGCAGAAACCCAGCAACCAGAAATGAAGAAAGCCCCCATTCGTATGCATGCATGAAATAAATTCTGAATTTCACACTTCAACCCCCCAATTCCCATCTAATGCTTTTAAAGCCTAAAAATTGGGAAAAATCAATCAGATTGGCCCCTTAGCTTCTTTAATCTTTCAATTGGGTCCTTGTTTTTCTTAATTGGTTAAATATGAGTAGTTTACTTTTCTTGGAATGCTTTGAGTGATTCAATTTCGTGTGATTATTCGTTAATTAAAGTGGTACCTTGACATTTTTATTGTTTTGGAGGGTAAATAAGTAATTTTGCTCCATTAGGGCCCCAACTCAAGGGAGGTATACTCTATCCCTTATTTCTCACTTTATTTGATCCTACGTGCCCTATGTGACTTTACATGTTTAAGTGCATGTTCTTGAATGTTTTTTTATTATTTATTTATTCATTCGCTTATTTGGCTTTAGTTTTGTATATTTATTTTTAGTTCAATTTTGATCATTTGAAGGGCACTTGAATGCCAAAGTTATAATAGTTAGGGATTATTTTATTTTATTTTATTCTTTTCCCCTTTAGATTGTAGTAGAGCCTCCCCCAATGTAATAGTTAGGGCTTGTTTGCTTTATTTGCTTGGTATGTTTTGCATGCTTATGTGTTATGTGTTATCCGCTTTCTTAGAGCCTTGCATCTAGATATCATGCTTATATGTTATGTGCTATACGTGATTTATGTGTTTACATGCTTTTATTAGGTCTTACATGATTTATTTGATTGTAACTGATGTGTGACGTCACCACACTAGTCCAACACTAGTTGTGGCCCTCTTTTCCCGAATCCACACTAGTCCAACGCTAGTTGTAGTTCATTGTTCCGATTTTCCACTAGTCCAACGCTAGTGAGAATTTGTAGGCATGGGTTAGTCCAACGCTAGACCCTTAGGGACCGTCTACGCGTTAGATCATGATTGTGTGATATAATCACTTTATCTCATGCATATTTCTCATTTTTTAGGGCTTTACCATGTTGCATGACACTTTCCTTATATGTATAGCCCTTATCCCATATTTCCCCATATATATATATTCCTTACCCCTTGGTGTGAAAACATGACATTAGACTTGCATTTCCATTTAAAAATTAGACCTAGGATAGTACATTTGCTTGATTAGACTAGGAAGAACCCCTTGGATATGGGATATGGACGAGTTTGCCTTCTCTAGCCTTAGCACGCTCGTATTCCCTCTATTAAAGGGAACATTGAAAGTCACGAGTATAAGTCCCCCGCACCCATTATGATGCATTCCTTTAGGTCATACACATTTGTATATTATTATTTTCTTTACTTTTCCTTTCTTTCGAGTCTCATGACTTGCATTATTCGTGACTTATTCGAAGAGTCTTTATTGGGCGTCACAATTAATGTGATTGGTACCAAGTAAGTTTTGAAGATACATTTCGACCCCCCATATAGTACATCCAAATGTAATAAATCTTTAGGTTAAAATAGGAAAATCTTTGACTAAATAGCGCAACTAGCCTTGGCTAGGTTGAAAGGGTGCCTTGGATTCTTATCCTTGCCTTCCCTTTCTTCAAATGTGACTCCCGAATCTTTTTCTCTGATTTTCGTAGGCTTGGAGTCGTTTAAAAAGGGTTTTCTACTTTTTTCTTTAAAAATTCATTTTTTAGATGATTTGGTACGCCTTAACTCTATATCAAGTGGCGACTCCATTTTTCATTTAACAAACCCTTTTTAAACTATATTTTGGGTCAAATCGTCGCATTTTCAAATCCCATTTAGACCCATGTTTTTTCATTTTCTTTTTAAATCAAAAATTCATTTTCCAATCAAAAATTGAATCAAAAATCATTTTTCTAAATTTTCATCTTTTATTTTTCTTTATTAAAAAATGGGGCGCGACAACATAATAATATCACTTAGTGGATGCTAGAATGTTGCTTTGGCCCATGTACAAAATTCTTTTCAGAATGGACACAAGAATCAGTTCTGTTTGAAAGTGGAGTGTGAATGTCAGAAATATTTCACCAATTTATATTAACTTTTGATCGTTCTAATGACTTTGCTCAATCTTATTGTTGCTTTGGGGAACATTCAAGCCATATCCTTTCAATATATTTTCAAGCTATGCGAAAACAAGTATTTTTTCCTATTCAAATATGATGGTTGAGACTCCCAGAAAGACAAATAGAAAAGGTACGAATTTGAATAAGAAGTAAAAATTTTCTATCCTATTTTTTTTGATAAGATTGGTGTTTTTCAGCTAATTTCTTACTGTGACTAGGACGCTTTGAAAGAGAATCAAATAAAGTCAGATCATTTATCCTAATTTTATCAACCATGGGCCTTCACCTTTCTGCCCGGTGCATTCTGAAGGTGCCCTTTGCCCTCCGTGACAGAAACTTACGTTTTTTGGACAACGAAGGCAATTGTGTGCTAAGCTGCCCCTAATCCTTTCGAGGTTGTTCATGAATTCCTGTGGCAGAGTTCCTTGAAGGAAGTTGTACTCGAGAAACAAAGTCTTCCAAGAATACAGCTTTGCCCCATATTCCTTCGGGATCCAACCAGAGAATAAATTATGCCCAAGATAGATTGCTCTTAGATTCTGATAGGTGATTAAATGCAATGGCAAATGACCACGGAGATGGTTACCGTGGGCATCCAATAGCTGAAGCTGGCTGGGTTGATTCATGAATACGACTTCAATATCAGAGAAGAGATTTGCTGAGACATTGATGCTGCTTACCTTAGGTGATGTAAGGATATCCGGCTCTATTTTGCCAGAGAGCCTATTATCACTGAGATCTAATGTCTTGAGATGTGGAAGCCTTCCAATGGATGAAACATTGCCAGAAATCATATTGTGACTTAATAATAGCGTTCTTAAACTTGTAGGTAATTGAGGCAGTGTACCATAGAATAGGTTGCTACTGAGATCTAATGTGGTTAGCTGCCATAGACCAGAAAAGTCTGGTAACTTCCCTGAGAATTGGTTGCCGGATAGTTGTAGGTGTAACAAGCTCCTTAATGCAGAGATCTTTGGAGGAATGGTACCAGAAAGCCTGTTCTGCGACAAATCAAAATGTTCAAGCCTCTTCATCTCGCTCAATCCTTCAGGAAGACCACCAGAGAAAAAGTTTTGCGACAAAAGAAGTTTGGTTATTGAAGAAGCACGGAACTTCCCCGGACCGAGCTGACCTGATGAGCTCGGATTGGTGATGGACAGAGCGCCTCCTAAGCCTGAAAGATAAACAGGAAAGTAAACTGGCAGGGGCCCCTAGGTGGTCCTCGAGGGCACTCCGACGGTCAAGTTAGTCTTCCGGTGAGAGGGGAGTGTACTAACAGGGAAGCAGTCGGGAGTGAGTTGCCAATAGTGAGCGTACCTTGCGCAGTCGTCGTGCGTTACTGTTTATACCTGCCGTGGAGTCCGACCTCCGTACGTTGCGGGACTTGCCCTGGATAGCTCCCAATCCCGCGATGAGGGGGACTCTCCCCGCCCTCTGCGGGGTAGCTTTCGGGAGGCCCACGGAGCCCTAGCTGTCGCGCGACCTGGGCTGGCTCCTCATGGGCCCGGGGTCCGAGCCCAGCTCGGATCGCCCTGGGCTGCCATGTGTACAGGTCCAGGACGGAGCCTCTGCACTAGCCCCCTAGATTAGGTCAGGCTCCCAGGCAGACCTGATCTATTCCCTTGCCACGTGGAAGCCCATCATCTCACTACTCTGCCGCAGTCACCTCCGGTGCAGTGCTGACATTGGGAAGTGGCGTCCGCGTCCTTTCAGTTGTCAGGTCCCTTCGGTCTTCGTACCGCTATTAAATGTGTTCACATGGGACGGTTCAAATTCAAGCAACCGTTTTCCCCCCATTCGGCCCCCTATAAATAGGCATTCTCAGACTTTCTCCAACTCTATTTGCCATTTTTCCTCCCTTCGCGCATTTTCCATTTTCCGGCAACAAGACTTCCGGCTTCCAGCGCCCAGATTCAGGCGACTTCTCCATCCCTTTCTTCACTTCGATCGTCAGTAAGTTCTTTCCCCTCTTCTTTCGCATTTCCTTTCCTCCTTTTGCCACCTTCTGCATTTTATGTCGGGTCATTCGGGCGTTACTTCCACTGCATCCCAAATTCCGGTCCGTCGTAGAGCCCCCAGAATCTTCATTTCCTATTCATTTTCGTCCCCGTCTTCATCTTCATCTTCATCATCTCCCCCTCCTCCTCCTTCCTCATCCTCTGCTTCTAACCCCAATTTTCCCATTCCTGATTTGCTTGAACTCATTGATATCATGAGCTCTCCCTCTGCCCATTCTCCTTCCGCCCGACTCCTGGAGGAGGCGGCCGAGCTTGATGCCTACATCCGACAGCAAGCCACTTCTGTCCCATCCCCCAAGTCCCCACATGACTCCCCTGGCGGAGCCCAGGGGAGAGCTGGGGAAGACAGGGATTCCTCCGAGGGGACCCCTGCTGCCGAGCAGGGGGATGATCCTGAGTTCAACTACGGTCACCCCGACCGGGAGGAGACCACCCTCTCGCCCGGGGCGGTGGCCGAGGTAGCCGCGTCATTCTCTATTTCTCCGGCCTACGAGCCGCGAGCTGCCGGGGCCACCGATCTGGCCTGCCGACCTCCCCCAGGCTTTGTAGCCGTTTACAAATAGCAACTAGTCGCGGGGCTCCGACTCCCCATTCCTCCGGCCCTGGCCGAGATCCTGAGCTACTGGGGGCTCAGGATCACCCAGGTCCACCCCAACTCGATCAGAATCATCATCGGATTCCTGATCTACTGCCAGATCTGCTCCATCCCCTATTCTCTCTCTCTCTTCCGTGCTACCTACGCCCTCAAGACTTCTCTCCCTGGGTGGTACTACTTCTGCCGCCGCTCCGCCAGCAATCGCGGCGGGAAGGGCGCCCAGGATCTCCTCTACGGGGTCCCCTCTTCCGTGAAGAACTGGAAGGGGGACTTCTTTTTCGTTAAAACCACCCACTTTCCCTCCAATGCGTGGAAGGTTGGGGGGGTCGGGGACGACCCCTATCCAGAGGACCTGGACCCCGAGGCCTTCGGCCAGCTGCTGGGCTCTGCGGTGAAACTGTACGCAGTCAAGTTCTCCACTGAGCAGATTTCCGCGGCCGGGCTGTTGGGGAAGCTGTCCGGGTCCCCAGGAGGGGTGGAGTTCTCCCCCGCCGACCGAGATACCTGTAATACTGCTCCTGTTCCCTTGTTATCTGCTGCCTTTTCCCCTATATTTCTCTGATTTGTAGCACTAATCCGTTGGTGTTCTCTGCAGTGAAAAGGCTCTCCAGGCTACTGGGCGCGCCAACCGAGGAGGTCGCCTCCACCGCACAGCCTGAGGCGGCAAAGAAGGCCCCTGAGGCCTCTGCGACTCCTGGGGGCAGCTCGGCCCCCCAGAAGGAGGCCTCCCAAATTCAGTCCCCCTCCAAGCAAATCCCCGGCAAAAAGAAGGCAACGGGGCAGAAGAGGGGGCGAGAAGACGAGCCCTCCCAACCCGGGAGGAAACCTGCTCAGGGCCCGGTACAGCGCCCTTTCCAGCTGACGTCTGGGGGCCCTGTCCACCTGGGGGTAGGCTCCGCGGAGGAGTACGCCCAAGAGAGCGCCCCCCCGAGCTTGTGGCACTTCCGCCACGTGGCCCCCACGAAGCCTGGGCAGGCCTCCACGATGCACGACCCCCGTCTCTTCTGCCCGTTCTGGGAGCTCTCCATCAATGACCGAGCCCAATTCCCCGAGGTGGCTCGCGAGCTGGTCACGGGCTCAGTCCTTCCACGCGACAAGAAGTGGATGGAGCTGGCCAACCCGTCCGAGCTCCAGAACATGTACTACACCGCCCAGGCCCAAGTAAGCCCTCTCCCATTTAGGCCCCTTGGGTCCCTGTTCTTTCCCCAAATGGGGTTAGTAATATTCTTACTCTCATCTCTGCAGGCCAATGCCGCCGGTGCTGCCCTGGTGACCCGCTTCTCCGAGCTGTCTCCCGACTTGGAGAAGATGCAAAAGAAGAATCGGGAGGCCGAACAGAAGCTGGCCAAGGTCCTTAAGGAGGTAGACTCCCTTAAGGCCAAGTTGGGCAAGGCTGAGAAGGAGGAGGAGGACTCCCACGTCCAGCTCGCCTCCACCTGGTCCGAGCTGGACCGAGAGAAGAAGGGCGTGGCGAGGCTGAGGGAGGAGCACGCCATTGAGCTCTCCAGCACCGTCAGCCGGGAGCGCAAGAAGGCTGTCCGGGACTTCATCTCCTCCGATCAGTTCGCCGAGGACGTGGCCTGCCTCAACCAGCCCATCTTCCAGATCGGCGCCACGCGGGCCCTGGACAAGGTGAAGAGCCTCAACCCACCCGGCTTCAACTTGGCGGATTTCAAGGACTACAATCCTGCGGCCGAGGAGAAGCTGAACTGGCTCTTCGACGGGTACCGCAAGGGGCATACCCTGAAGGACCTGATGGGAAGGAGCGACGTGGGGGCCGAGCTGGCGGAGTTTCCCCTGGAAGAGGAGGAGACTCCTGGCAGGGCTTCCGGGAAGGAGCCTGTGGCCTAGAGCAGCGGCCACTCCAGAAACCCTTTCCGCCTTCTTATAAGGATGTAACCATGCTCCAGTTGAAAATGCTTTTGAAGGTCCATCTGAGACGGAAATGCTCCCCAAATCCTTTTTAACAGCCTTCTCCACCCGACCCCCAACATGCTTAAGGTGCACCTTCAGCTCCTATCTCTCAACATGCTTAAGGTGTACCTTCAGCTCCTACCTCTCAACATGCTTAAGGTGTACCTTCAACTCCCACCTCAAGCAGGTCGCCAGCAAGAAGAAGGCGTAGCTAGATCCCCCTTTCCTTGTATAGCTCGGTAGGCTTTGTAATAGATAGGTTTAAAGTTTTGTAATAGACAGGCTGAAAGTTTTGTAATAGATAGGCTTTGAATGCATTTACGAAATTCGAAGGAGATCTCCTTGCAACTTTTTCCTGCACCCCACTGCAACAACTAAAGCCAGGTACCGACCTCCTGGGTCGAGCACCAAATTCATACCCCCGTTAATCTAACAACTAACCCCTTAGGGGGAACCAGACTGTCGAAACCCTGTGCCGACCTCCCGGATCAAGCACCACGCCGTCCTACCAGGGCAACGTGCCAGCCTCTTGGGGCTGAACACCAAATCCTTAAGGATTTCTCCCGCCGACCTCTTGGGTCGAGCGTCCGACTTTGAAGGTGTTCGTGCCGACCTCCCAGATCGAGCATCGAACCTTGAATCCCATCAGACCAAAAATAGTCCGCTCCATGCCGACCTCTCGTGGCCGAGCGTCGTGCTCTCAGACTTCCCAGCTTTAACTTGTGCCGACCTCTTGGGGTCGAGCATTCACCTGGAAGTTTTAATTAGCGCCGACCTCTCGGGGTCGAGCATCGCACCTCGCAATGGCGCCCGCCGACCGCCTGGGTCGAGAAGGGAATTTTCAGAATCCTTCAAAGTTTTCCAGTCGTGCCGACCTCCTGGAGTCGAACACTCCAGCATCCATTACTTTTTCCAGATTTTTCCAGTCGTGCCGACCTCCTGGGGTCGAGCACTCCCGCATCCATTACTAACCCATAGCCCCCCACTAGGACATTTAGTGAGGGAACGCTAAGTGTACTAGTGTAAGATTCAAATTTAAAAAGCAAACAAGTACAAATAAAATTACAACTTGGCAGTCGAGCTTTTATTGAATGATGAAACTGAAATTCAAATTCCAAAGAACAGACAACCGAACACCCTGGTCTAAACTACGCTACAAACAGTCGCAGATTGGAGAAGTGCCAAGTACGGGGTACCTCCGATCCATCTATTTTTGCGAGCTTGCAGTAGCCAGCTCGGCTCGCTTCTAGGACCTGGTATGGGCCTTCCCAGTTCGGGTCGAGCTTGTTGGAGCCATGAGCTCGGCTGATCGAGTTCTTCCTTAGGACAAGGTCCCCCGGCTGGTACTGTATGGTCCTCACTCTGGCGTTATGATAGCGGGCGAGCTGGCTTTTGTACTTAGCCATCCTAATGAGGAGGGGCTCAAGGCTGCTCAAACTTCTAGTGCTCAAGTCATGCAAATACCCAGTGGTCCAATTACAAGAGCGCGTGCTAGGAGAATTCAAGAATCACTTCAAGCTCTTGTGTGCACGATTCAAGAACGAGTTGGTGATGACTTGAGGACCATTGAAGATTACATAATGGAGAAACTACTATATACACTTTCCTTCAAATGGAAGAACCAAGTGAAGACTAGTTCATCGAGTACTAGTTTGCTAATTAGGGTTTTAGTTTCCATTATTAGTTGTTTGTTAGCATTAATAATTTCGGTCAATTTCCACTTCACTTTGGCCGAATTTAGAGTCTTAATTTTAGTCCATTAGTAGTTAGATATTTTCACCCTTAATGAAGGGCAAGGTCGTCCATTGGACATGCTAGGGTTTGAGTCCTGTAAGGCTATATATAGCCTAGGTTTTCATTCATTAAAGGGAATTCAGATTTTATAAAATATATGTGAGTTATTTCACTCTCTCTTGCCTCAAGAGAATTTCCTTTGAATACTTGAGAATCAATCTCAAGTTGTTCAACGAACTTATCAATCAAGTAGTCTCCTTGATTGTGGCGTTCTTCTATCTATACTTTTGGTTCACTAAAGTGGCTAGTCGTGGGTTAAGGAATCTCCTTAGTTCGTGGCTCGTGATTCTAGAAGGGACAAAGTTCCGCAAAACATCCCAACTTGGTGTTCGTCTAGATCCGTTTCACATCAGTTGGTATCCAGAGCTAGTCGACGACATCAAGTATATCCGTTGAGTTTGTTCGTAAGCTTCCTAGTCAATTTTATTTTGCAAATCTGGTCGTGTCTCTCTTTGTGTCAAGTCCGATTGTTATTACAAAAAAAAAAAAAAAAAGACACTGTAGCGATACTGTTCATCGCTACTGTAGCGACACTGTTCATCCCGAAAAAAAAAACTTTTGTTCATAACTTGTGTTTCTTTCTTATTTTGGTGTCTTGTTATATTGTTCTTGAAGTTTTGTGTTGGTTTAGAGTAAAAAAAAAAAAAAAAAAAAAAATCCAGCCGCTAGGGTTTCCTTGGGCGGCAAGTTTCTTGCCAAATCTGTCCAAACTTTAGTTTATTCCACAAGTTGTTTTAATTAATTTCCTAAACTGATTTTGTGGTTGAACTTGTTTGGGGTTGGAATCTTGGAGAGGGACTACCATAATCTAGGGTTTCTTGAGTTTCTTGAAACTAATCTTGAAGTCTTGAAACTTTGATACATGTCTTGATAATTATTGGAGGATTGAAGGAGAACATTGGATTGACATTAAATTCTGGAATTTTACCCCAAGAACAGCCGAGTAATTGTGTGTTCTTAGAGTCAAAAAAAAAAAAAAGAAAAAAAAAAGGGCATTCGGGTGACAAACCACAAAGGAGGAAGCCGCACTTTTATTTGCCAATTCTGTCTTATTGCAATTGTTCCAACAAACCAGAAAATTACATCAAGAAAAGCATACTCAAAAGTTTTGACCAACCTCCTCTTGAAAATCTTGCACACCTTGGGTCTTGATCACTTGTATCACCCGTTGAGTCTTTTGAGGATCTTGACCATCTTGATTCTTGAAGATTTGCACTTCCCTACGTATAAACAGTTTCTTGTATGTCCTTGCATCCATACGGGGCTTTCTTGGCTTAGGAGTAAACCTCTTGGGAGTTTCTTGAGCAGGCCGCTTGGAGTATTCTTGGGTGACGTTGCTTGAGTCATCTTGTGAAGCCATTGTTTAGCACCAAGCGTCAAAAAAAAACTGTCCTTGTGTGGAGCAAAGAGGGGAGGGCCGAATTGTTGTTCTTGAGGGAGAATAAGGGACGAAAATTTTGAGGGGATTTAAGAAGACAAGAAATCTGGAATTTTTTCGTGGAAGCTATTCTGATTTGATAAGGTAACAAATCTGGAAATTTTCAGCAGTTAGGAAGCTACCAAATTCTGTTTTTTGCAGCCGACTTTGGAAGGTTTAAAAGGAGCAGAAATCTGGAAATTTCTTAGCTACCAAATTCTGTTTTGCAGCCGACTTTGGAAGGTTTAAAAGGAGCAGAAATCTGGAAATTTTTTTAGATACCAAATTCTGTTTTGCAGCCGACTTTGGGAGGTTTCAAAAGAGAAGGAAATCTGGAATTTTTTTTGGGAACAATTCTGATTTGTTATAGCCGACTTTAGGAAGGTTTTTTGGAAAAATTTTGGAAGGTTTTTGGAGAGGGAATCTTGAAAAATTTTGGTAATAATTCTGTTTGGTTAGCCGATTTTAAGGAAATTTCCAAATAAGTCTAACACCTAACTTGTTTCCAAAAATCAATTGGGCAATTAAGTAAAGCACTTGGGAACTCCATCATCGTACTTGGACTTTCTTTTTCTTTGTACATCAATTCTTTCCTCTTCCATTCCTTATTCATTACTTGAGCTTTCCATTTCTACTTTTTCTTTCCTTGTTCCTTTGATACAATTGGGAGCTATTTTGATTAAAGTTTGATTGAACTTCCTTGAGAAAATTTCTGAATTCTTCAAAGGAAACAAACAAGTGGTTTGAGAAGTGAATTGGTGAGAGCATTAAAGTGCCATACACACTTGAGTGAAAACACAAGAGGAGTGAAACACTTAAGGGAGCATGTGAGGCATTTTCTACTAACAATTTGTCAAGTTTTGCAGGTTTCACCATGTCTCAGGAACATGAAATTACCATTGCTCAGTTATCACTTAAAATGGATAATATGTGGAAGGACATGCAGAGGAGATTTGACCAAAGGTTGGAAACAATCCATGAGCAAATTGACCAACTAAGTTCGTCTAGGGCTTCTTCTAGGAAATCTAGGGGAAAATTCACCCTGGGGGAATCTAGTGACTCCAATGCCGATTCGGAACATGAGGCATACGAGCAAAGAAGGCCAAAGCGAAACACAAGAGCCATCGGTGATGCAATCAAGGGGATTAAGATGAAGATTCCGCCTTTCCAAGGCAAATCTGATCCGGATACATACCTTGAATGGGAAAGTCGAGTGGAGCTAGTATTCGATTGTAATGACTACACCGATGCACAAAAATTGAGACTTGCCGTAGTAGAATTCACCGACTATGCCATAGTTTGGTGGGAACAAGTGGTTACAAGCAGGAGAAGGTGTGGAGAACCACCTATAACCACTTGGACTGAGCTCAAGAGATTGATGAAGAAGCGATTTGTACCAAGTCACTACCATAGAGACTTGTACCAAAAACTTCAAACCTTGACACAAGGTCAACGCTCAGTTGAGGACTACTACAAGGACATGGAAATCTCCATGTTAAGAGCTGATATTCAAGAAGATAGAGAGGCTACAATGGCAAGATTTCTCAATGGTCTGAGGGTTGAAATAGCCGATCAACTGGAGCTTCAATACTATGTGGAGATTGAAGATATGGTGGAGAAGGCTATCAAGATTGAGCAAAGGCTCAAGAGGAGGGGTACAACCAGAAATTATAACCCTCATCCACAAGCATTTACTCGACCATTCCAGCCTAGAAGGGAAGAGAGAGGTTCGAATACTTGGACCACTCCAAAGCCGAAGCAAGATCAAGGGTCAAGCTCGCGGCCACCTTTTACTAAAACCGACTCCAAGGTTGTTTCAAAACCAACATTTGAAACTTCAAAACCTAGGAATCGTGACACCAAATGTTGGAGGTGTCAAGGAGTTGGGCACATTGCAAGCCAATGTCCAAACCCAAGGACCATGCTTGTCCTACCAAATGGAGACATTGTCACTGATGATGAAGAGGAGGATTACAAGGACATGCCTCCCTTGGTTGAAGAGGAAGATGAGATAGAGGAAGTTCCAACTCAAGACAAAGTTGGATTGGTAGCAAGGAGAGCACTAGCTACTCAAGCTAGTAAAGATGAGCTTCAACGTGACAACATCTTTTACACTAGGTGCCATGTCACCACCAAGGTATGCAGCTTGGTGATTGACCCCGGAAGTTGCACTAATGTTGCTAGTGCATTGATGGTGGAGAAACTAAACTTGCCAACTAGTGAGCACCCCCGTCCCTACAAGCTTCAGTGGTTAAACAACAGTGGAGAGGTACGTGTTCTTAAACAAGTTTTGGTTACTTTTCGCATTGGTAGGTATGAAGATGATGTCATGTGTGATGTAGTACCAATGCAAGCTGCACATATACTCTTAGGGCGTCCTTGGCAATTTGACAAAAGAGTCACTTTTGATGGTTTCTTGAACAAATACTCCTTCATGCATAATTGTAAAAAGATTACACTTGCACCTCTCACACCCCAACAAGTGCATGAGGATCAAGTTAGTCTACAAAAAGAGTATGACTTGCATGTTACCACCAAGAAGGACAACGCCAAAGCTAAGCGATTAGTATTGGCCGATCCTTCTTCAAGCAAGTTGGATCACTCTCATTCGGCCTTAGAGCCCACACAGGAGAGAAAACCCAGCATGCTTGCCAAAGTGAAAGATGTGAGACAGGCCTTGCATTCTAATCAGGTTTTATTTATTCTATTTGGCAAGGAATCCTTACTCACTAATGCTCTTGATGCTTCTTTGCCTAGTGTTATTACTAACCTCTTACAGGAGTATCAAGACATCTTTCCTGAGGATATACCTAATGGATTGCCTCCATTAAGGGGAATTGAACATCAAATTGATTTCATTCCCGGATCCTCCCTTCCAAACAAGGCACCATATAGGACCAATCCTGAGGAAACCAAGGAGCAACAACGACAAGTGGAGGAGTTGCTTGGTAAGGGTTGGATTCAAGAGAGTCTAAGCCCTTGTGCTGTACCAGTTCTACTTGTTCCAAAAAAAGATGGAGGATGGAGAATGTGCACTGATTGTAGGGCAATTAATGCCATCACGGTAAAGTACCGCCATCCCATACCTCGTTTGGATGACATGCTTGATGAATTACATGGTGCAATCATTTTTACTAAGATTGATTTGAAAAGTGGTTACCATCAAATTCGCATGAAAGAAGGAGATGAATGGAAAACTGCATTTAAGACAAAACATGGACTTTTTGAGTGGTTGGTCATGCCTTTTGGGCTAACCAATGCACCAAGTACTTTTATGAGACTCATGAATCATGTTTTGCGTTCTTTCATTGGTAAATTTGTGGTCGTTTACTTTGATGACATTTTGATCTATAGTAAGAGTCTAGATGAACATGTTGTGCATTTACAAATGGTTCTAGATGCACTTCGCAAGGCGAGCCTCTACGCTAACCTTAAGAAGTGTACCTTTGGCACAAATCAATTGGTTTTCCTAGGCTATGTTGTAAGTGAGCAGGGAATTCATGTTGATCAAGACAAGGTGAAGGCTATTAATGAATGGCCAACCCCTACCACTGTAAGTGAGGTGAGAAGTTTCCATGGCTTGGCAAGCTTCTATAGGCGTTTTGTCAAGGATTTTAGCACAATTGCTGCACCACTTACGTCAATTGTCAAGAAAGATGTGCAATTTCATTGGGGAGAGGAACAAGCTAAGTCTTTCCAATTACTTAAACACAAGCTTACACATGCACCTGTTCTTAGTTTACCTAATTTTGACAAAGCTTTTGAAGTAGAGTGTGATGCTTCTGGTATAGGTATTGGAGCTGTTTTACTCCAAGAGGGTCGCCCGGTTGCCTACTTTAGCGAGAAGTTGAATGGAGCTGCTCTAAACTACTCAACATATGATAAGGAACTAATGGCCTTAGTGCGAGCTCTACAAACATGTCAACATTACCTTCGCCCTCGTGAGTTTGTCTTGCACACCGATCATGAGTCGCTCAAGCATATCAAGTCCCAAGACAAGTTGAGTAAGCGACATGCACGATGGATTACCTTCATTGACAGTTTTACCTTTGTGCTCAAATACAAGACAGGTAAGTCGAATGCAGTGGCTGATGCACTCTCGCGAAGACACACACTTATCACTACATTAGATGCTAAGTTGCTTGGTTTTGAATTCCTTAAAGAACTTTATGCAACTGACTCAGATTTTGGTGAGATTTTTTCCTCCTTGCCACGACACTCTCGTGAGCATTATTTCATTTCTCAGGGGTTCTTATACTACAAAGACAAGCTTTGCATTCCCAAGAGCTCCATGCGCACACTCTTAGCAAAAGAATCTCATGGAGGAGGGCTAATGGGACACTTTGGCATTGCCAAGACCTTAATGATTCTCCAAGAACATTTCTTCTGGCCACGCATGAGAAGTGACGTGGAACGCCACATTGAGAGGTGCGTGACTTGTCACCAAGCAAAATCAAAGGTACACCCTTATGGTCTCTATACGCCTTTGCCAATTCCACATGAACCATGGGTTGATCTGTCAATGGATTTTGTGCTTGGACTACCTAGGACTAGAAAAGGACATGATTCAATCTATGTGGTAGTTGATCGTTTCTCCAAAATGGCCCATTTTATTCCTTGTCTTAAAACAGATGATGCTAAGCATGTTGCAGATTTATTCTTTCGTGAGATAGTTAGATTACATGGCATGCCACGCACTATTGTTTCTGATAGGGACGCCAAATTCCTTAGCTATTTTTGGAAAACTTTGTGGTGTAAACTAGGTACTAAATTGCTATTTTCTACTTCTAGCCACCCACAAACTGATGGTCAAACCGAAGTGGTTAATAGGACTTTATCTACCCTGTTGCGCGCAATTATTAAAAAGAACATTAAATCTTGGGAAGATTGCTTACCACATGTGGAATTTGCATACAATCGCACTGTTCATTCTGCTACACATTATTCGCCGTTTGAAATTGTGTATGGCTTTAACCCTCTCACACCTTTGGATTTAACTCCTTTACCTGTTCAAGAGAGAGTTAACTTGGATGGTAAGAACAAAGCGGCATATGTACGTGAGCTACACTCTAAGGTGCGAGCCAACATCGAGAAGCGTACACTTCAATACATCCAAAGTGCCAACAAGGGGCACCGCAAGCTGGTCTTTGAGCCTGGCGATTGGGTATGGATACACATGCGCAAAGAGAGGTTTCCAGTCAAAAGGCGTAGTAAGCTACTTCCACGGGGAGATGGTCCATTCCAAGTCCTGGAGCGTATAAATGACAATGCCTACAAACTCGAACTTCCAGGTGAGTATGGGGTACATGCTACTTTTAATGTCTCTGACTTGAGTCCTTTTCATGCAGACGATGAGTTTGATTTGAGGACAAATCGCCTTCAAGAGGAGGGGACTAATGAGGAGGGGCTCAAGGCTGCTCAAACTTCTAGTGCTCAAGTCATGCAAATACCTAGTGGTCCAATTACAAGAGCGCGTGCTAGGAGAATTCAAGAATCACTTCAAGCTCTTGTGTGCACGATTCAAGAACGAGTTGGTGATGACTTGAGGACCATTGAAGGATTACATAATGGAGAAACTACTATATACACTTTCCTTCAAATGGAAGAACCAAGTGAAGACTAGTTCATCGAGTACTAGTTTGCTAATTAGGGTTTTAGTTTCCATTATTAGTTGTTTGTTAGCATTAATAATTTCGGTCAATTTCCACTTCACTTTGGCCGAATTTAGAGTCTTAATTTTAGTCCATTAGTAGTTAGATATTTTCACCCTTAATGAAGGGCAAGGTCGTCCATTGGACATGCTAGGGTTTGAGTCCTGTAAGGCTATATATAGCCTAGGTTTTCATTCATTAAAGGGAATTCAGATTTTATAAAATATATGTGAGTTATTTCACTCTCTCTTGCCTCAAAAGAATTTCCTTTGAATACTTGAGAATCAATCTCAAGTTGTTCAACGAACTTATCAATCAAGTAGTCTCCTTGATTGTGGCGTTCTTCTATCTATACTTTTGGTTCACTAAAGTGGCTAGTCGTGGGTTAAGGAATCTCCTTAGTTCGTGGCTCGTGATTCTAGAAGGGTCAAAGTTCCGCAAAACATCCCAACTTGGTGTTCGTCTAGATCCGTTTCACATCACATCCGTACCGCCGCTTCCTCACGCTTAGCCTCCAGCATGTCCAAGTTGTACCTCAGCTCTTCCTCGTTGGTTGACGCAACGAAGTTCTGTGTCCGGGGTGAGGGGAGACCAATCTCCGCGGGTACTACCGCCTCTACTCCGTAAGTCAGAGAGAACGGGGTCTCGTGGGTGGCCGTCCTGGGCGTAGTACGGTAAGCCCAGAGGACGCTAGGTAGTTCGTCTAGCCAGTTAGACTGGGCTAACTCCAGTCTAATCTTTAGCCCCTGCAGAATGGTTCGGTTGACATTTTCCACCTGACCGTTGGCCTGGGGGTGTCCAACCGAGGTGAAGTGCTGGTTAATTCCGAGCTCGGCGCACCAGCTTTTGAAGGGATTTTCAGCAAACTGTCGCCCGTTTGTCGGATATGAGGACGTGTGGGATTCCAAAGCGGCAGACTATGTTTTTCCAGAAGAACTTCTGAATTGCTCTACCGGAGATAGTGGCCAAGGGTTCGGCTTCCATCCACTTTGTGAAATAGTCGATGGCTACCACGAGGTGTTCGTACCTGCCCGGAGCTCGGGGGAAGGGACCCAGGAGGTCTATCCCCCACTGGGCGAAAGGCCAAGGACTGTGGATGGGGACCATCTCCCGGGTGGGTTGGTGGCGCAGCGGGGCATGCACCTGGCATGCTCGGCATTTCTGAACCAGAGCAACCGCATCTTGGAAAATCAAAGGCCAATAGTAGCTCAGGAGAAGGCATTTTTTGGCCAGTACCCGGGACCCCACATGCGCCGCGCATAATCCTTCGTGGACTTCACAGAGGACGTAATCGCCCTCCTCGGGAGTCACGCACTTTAGCCAGGGGGATAAGTATGACCTCCTGTAGAGGGTTCCCCCAGCGTAGGCGTACTTGGCAACTCTGAGCTGGATCCGGCGAGCCTCGGTTTTGTTCTCAGGGAGGACACTCGAGTCGAGGAAGTCTACGAGGGGGGTCATCCAGGTGGCCGAGCTATCTATAGCCAGGACCTGGACCTGGTCGATACTTTTCTGCCTTACCACCTCTACCAAAACTCCCTTGTTTAGGTGCGCAAACGAGGAGGATGCCAGCTTTGACAGGGCGTCTGCACGCTTGTTTTGAGATCTAGGCACCTGCTCGATTTCAAATGTATCAAATAGGGCTATCGCCTCCTGCACCTTGGCTAGATATTTCTTCATGACCTCCTCCTTGGCCTCGTATTCCCCACGAACTTGGAGGACGACGAGCTGAGAGTCGCTCCTGACTTTGATCGCGGTTATACCCATCTGGTGGGCTATCCGCAACCCCGTCAATAGGGCCTCATACTCAGTCTCATTGTTGGACGCGAGGAAGTCAAACCGGAGAGCATAGGTCAGCTCTTCCCCTGTTGGCGAGATGAGCAGCAGACCTGCCCCGCTTCCTTCCTTGCTGGAAGCCCCGTCTACGAATAGCACCCATGGCTCCTTCGTCCGTACATCCTCTCGCAAAGGGCTTAGCTCGGTTAGGGTCAAGCTGGCCCCCTCAGCAAGGAAGTCTGCCAAGGCCTGGGCCTTGATGGCTGTGCGAGACTGATAGCCGATGTCATGCTCGGCCAGCTCGACGGCCCATTTGGTCATCCTGCCCGAGACTTCGGGCTTGGTGAGTATCTGCCGTAGGGGCTGGTCGGTCATGACGACGATACTGTGGGCCTGAAAGTAAGGTCGGAGTTTTCGGGCAGCATGTACCAGGGCGAGGACCAGTTTCTCGGCCGGCGTGTACCGCGTTTCTGGACCTTGTAAAGCGCGGTTAACGTAATATATTGGCCTCTGAACCCCCCTGTCCTCCCGCACCAAAACCGCGCTAACGGCCTCGTTGCAGGCGGTCAAGTATAGGAACAAGATTTCTCCCTGTTCCGGGGCGGTCAGGATGGGTAGCTCGGCCAAATACGCATTTAGGTCGGTAAAGGCCTTCTAGCACTCTTCGGTCCACTGAAAGTCCTTGGGCGCCTTCAGGACTCGGAAGAAGGGGAGCCCCCTCACCGCGGACCGTGAGAGGAACCTATTCAGGGCGGCCATCCTTCCTGTGAGTCGCTGGACCTCCTTCACACTCCGTGGAGGGGCCATGTCCATGATGGCCTGGAGTTTTTCGGGGTTGCCCCGGATTCCTTCTCGAGAGACCAAGAACCCGAGGAACCGGCCCGACCTAACTCCGAAGGTGCACTTCTTCGGGTTCAACCGCATTCGGCTTTCCCAGATGATGTTCAAGATCTCCCTCAGGTCGGGTACGAGCTGTGGTCCTGCTCTACTCTTGACGATCATGTCGTCCATGTAGACCTCCATGTTCCTGTCGATCTGGTTCTGAAATAATTTGTTGACCAAGCGCTGGTAGGTTGCTCCAGCGTTCTTTAGCCCGAATGGCATCGTCCGGTAGCAGTAGGTCCCTTCCTCGGTGATGAACGAGATTTTTTCCCGATCCTCCTAGGCCATCTCTATCTGGTGGTATCCCTTAAAAGCATCCAGGAAACACAAAACGTCAAAACTAACAGTAGCATCTACTAACCTGTCGATCCTTGGCAAGAGGAAGCAGTTCTTCGGGCAGGCTTTATTGAGATCTGTAAAGTCAACGCACATCCTCCAGGACTGGTCCTCCTTCTTTACCAGAACAGGGTTGGCTAGCCAGGTCGGATAGTAGACCTCCATGATGATTTTGGATTCCAGCAACTTTCCGACCTCCTTCTTGGATCACCTCATTCCTCTCTGGGGCGAAGTTCCTCTTCTTCTGCTTCACTGGCTTAAAGTGGGGGTCTATGTTGAGGTGGTGGACGGTCAGGTCGGTCGGGATCCCAAACATGTCCTCCACTGTCCAAGCGAAAACCTGGGCGTACTCCCTTAGGAGGGCCTTCAAGTCATCCTTCTCTTTGGGCGGTAGCGACGCACCGATGCGGATTGCCTGGTCAGGCTTGTCCTCCCTCAATGGGAACTCCTCGATCTCATCCTGAGTGCCCAGCTGCCGATCCTCCTCTCCCGGGATGTAAGGCTCCAAGCTGGTCGTCTGAGCGACCACCTTCTCGTGTCCCCGGAGCATGGCTAGGTAACATGCTCGAGCCACCACCAGATCTCCACGCATATCGGCAACTCCTCCCGGGGTGGGGAATTTGACGCTGAGGTGGAGCGTTGAGGGAATCGCTCGGAGGGCATTCAAAGCGGACCGACCTAGGAATATGTTGTACGGGGATGGCTGCTTGACCACCACGAAATTGACGGGGATGGTCCGGCATCTGGGTGTCTGACCTACTGTGACCATCAGGGTGATCATCCCCTCCGGATTGATGGGCGGTCCGGTAAAGCCTACTAGAGGCATCCGAACAGGGGTTAGCTACCCGTCCTCCAGGCCGAGCTCCTTGAACACCCTGTAGAACAGGATGTCCACTGCACTTCCCTGATCGACGTACACTTTTTTCACCCGGTAATTATTGGTGACGATGTCTATTACGATAGCCTCATGATTCCCGGCCGTCAAGGGAACCGCGTCCCTCGGTCCGAAAGTGATCTCCTCATCCATGCGCAGACGCTTCAGTGAATCATCTCCGTCGGGGGGAGGTCGCCTGTTTTTCCGGACTGTATGGCTGTCTCCTCCCGTGGGACCCCCGGCTATGGTGTTTATAACCCCCGTCAGGTTCTGAGTGTCCTGGTCGGGGGAGTGGCCCCGGGCCGCGTCATGCCGCTCAGGGCGGTCTCGGCGGTAGCCTTCGCCCCTCCCTTCGTGGTAGGCACGTCCGCGCTCCCGGCCCGGCCGACCTGGCTGCACGAACCGCCCCAAGAAACCGCGCTGGATCAGGTCTTCAATCTCCTTCCGCAAGGCCCAGCATCCTTCCGTATCGTGCCCTACATCACGGTGGAAGGCACAGTACCGGTCCTGGTTCCTTTTATTCCGGGGCGTCCCCATCTTGGGCGGCCGTCCTCCTAAACCCTCTGCCTCCATCACCGCCAGGATCTGTGCCCTGGGCCGAGTCAGGGGTGTGTACCCTTTTTCCGGGAGTGGCGGTTGAGCGGGGGCTTTATCCTTGGAGAGGCGATCGAAAACGTTCTTCCTGGTTTGGCCATCCTTGATTTCAGGGGGGTTTCCCCGTCCTCTCCGATCCCCGAACTCCCGATCTGACTCCCTCTTCAGGCGGGCGGCCTCCTGTGCGTTGGCGGCGGCGTGAGCCCGGGTCAAGAGCTCTTCCAGATTTTTGGGGGGCTGTTCAGCAAGCTTGTAGTAGAGCTCCTCCACCCTCAGCCTGTTCATAAACGCGGCCATCACTATTTCTCATCCTTGTCCCGGATCTGCAAGCTCTCCGTGTTAAAGCGGGATATGAAATTTTTCAAGGACTCGTCCGGCTTCTGTTTGACAGTCATTAGGTGGGCCGCATTCTTCGAGTTGGTTTTCGAGGACACGAACTGAGCGACGAACTGCCTGGCCAGCTCGGGAAAGCTTCGGATGGACCCCGGTGCCAGGCCCTGGAACCAGAGGTGGGCCTTTCCCTTCAGGAACATGGGGAAGGTCTTGCAGCGGATCTCATCCACACCTGTTTGCAGACGCATGTGCGTCAAGAAGACGGAGAGATGGTCTTCCGGGTCAGTCGTGGCGTCATATAGTTCGATGTTCGGAATCTTGAACCTCCGGGGTAAATGGCAGTCCTCTATCTCCCGAGTGAAGAGTGAGGACGCATAATTGTCCTCGTATTGTTGCGGCCGCAAGATCTGCTCAAGTTCGTCTCGGACTGGCCTCCCCGGGGAGAGGCCACGTCGCAAGCTCCTCACAGATCGGTCGGGGGATCTCGCCACCCCATTCCGCACAGGCTTCCGTGGGGCGGGTTCCCGCGGCCAGCTCCTGGCGGACCGGCCGCGGGAGTACCCCTCGCTATCCCCCACCACTGAGGCCCGTGGGCGAGGGGGAGTTCGTGGCCGCTTTCTCCTGGGGTGGCGGTCTCGCGACTCATCCTCCGAGGGAATGGGAGGCGACTCCGGCCGCTTCCCCCTCGCCTTGGAGGTTTGTGCGCCCCCGGCTTCTCCTCCCTCCTTTGCTTGTCGGATGATGTCCTCCAGCATAGGGATGTTCTCTGTTACAAACTGGAAGATCTGTTGCCTCCGTTCTCCCGAGAGGGCCGAGGCCCCGGCCCCCCGGGCCGCCTCGGTCTCCACTCTCCGGGACCCCTCTCCGGCCCCGGGGTCGGAGTTTTCCACGGTTCGTTTGGAGCGCGTTCTCGCCATCAGCACAAACACTCGTACCTTTCGTTCCCACAGACGGCGCCAACTGAAGAAGCACGGAACTTCCCCGGACCGAGCTGACCTGATGAGCTCGGATTGGTGATGGACAGTGCGCCTCCTAAGCCTGAAAGATAAACAGGAAAGTAAACTGGCAGGGGCCCCGAGGTGGTCCCCGAGGGCACTCCGACGGTCCAGTTAGTCTTCCGGTGAGAGAGGAGTGTACTAACAGGAAAGCAGTCGGGAGTGAGTTGCCAATAGTGAGCGTACCTTGCGTAGTCATCGTGCGTTACTGTTTATACCTGCCGTGGAGTCCGACCTTCGTACGTTTCGGGACTTGCCCTGGATAGCTCCTAATCCCGCGATGAGGGGGACTCTCCCCGCCCTCTGCGGGGTAGCTTTCGGGAGCCCCACGGAGCCCTAGCCGTCGCGCGACCTGGGCTGGCTCCTCATGGGCCCGGGGTCCGAGCCCAGCTCGGATTGCCCTGGGCTGCCACGTGTACAGGCCCAGGACGGGGCCTCTGCAGTTATCTTTCTCAACTTGGCTATAGTATTTGGTATTGGTCCCCGGAAGTTGTTGTTCCTTAAGTTTAGGGTAGTGAGCTCTGTCAAGTTTCCAATTGTTGGAGTCAGAAAACAGTCCAATCCATCTCCTTCAAGGTTAATTACAGCTATTCGGCTGCTAGAATTATCTTCAGGAGTTGTACATAAAACTCCTAGAAAATGAGGCCCCGACCAAGTGCTGAGAAATGAAGTTGAGGAGACAGTGTTGGGATCAACAGCCTCCCTGATGTTACGTAGAACTTGAATATCAGATTGCAGAGTTAGCGAAACAGCAAGACATGGAACAAGAATAAGGGAAATAGCTAAAAAAGTTGTATAGCAGAAAAAAGATGATGCAAAATGCATAGATGTGGCCATTGCATTTAGAAAACTTTAGAGCAGTTCGAAGCTCAATATTGATACTCGACGCCTGCTGAAGCTACTTATATGCCTTCACAAGCAAAGCATGATAAACAGCATAGGAAATCGTTAGTATCATTCAGGGCATCGGCACATAAAATGAACTCTGCAAAGTAGGTTAAAAATACAGCAAGCGCTGCCAGTTAATTATTCGGGAATGTATATTATATGCCAATTTCGTCCTAAATTATTCGGTGAATACTTCTTTTAAATATTATTATTATTAATTTACTTTTCTATCATTTATGTTGCTTGTGGGGCTAAAATTTTAGCTCTGAATGCACATTTAATTAGATGGAGCTGCTATCAGCAAATGATTGATTCCAACGGACGGTTGTACCTTTCTTTCTGCATACTGCATGATGGATGACAAATGACGAGACAAGGATAACTTGGGAATGAACATTGTTATAAAGCAGATCTAAGAGTCGAACTCCCAGTTGAACCAACAATATGATCAAGGACTGGGTAGTAGTAATGTTCATTGCTGACTTTTCACAAGAGCAGGCAAGAAACTAGTTTCTACAATAATACAAAAAACGTATTAATCAAGTTCTTAGACTTTGAATGGTAGGGAATTGCGTGTACAAATATATCAGTGGTAATATGGTACAGTAATACTTAGTTGTTTAGTAAATGGGTTTTGAACCCATTAACGGGTACCACAGTAATGATAGTATTCCCATTAACAGTCTTTGTACCCGCATTGGTGGCACGGTGACGGCTTGAGGCCTGAGACCGTAGCTGTGAAAAATTTCTACATAATGCCATTTTCTTGCTTTTTAATCAAATATCCAAGTATTCAAGTATTGAAGCTTGTAATATTTGAGCGAATATCTTCTGGAATGAATGTTAGTGGGTTGGATTTGATTTTCTAAAACATTGGTGAAGCGTGGTAGAGGATTCTGGATGATAGATGAGATATTTTTGGTTAAAGAAGAGAAACAACTGAGGAAGAAGATGAAGAACGTAAGTAAAGAAAGATAAAAAAGAGGTTGTTTGTGACAGTCCCACCTCCGGCGAATCAAAGGGTTCGACGGACCGTCTGCCCATCTGATATTTAGTACTACTCCTTTACAACTCACATATGCACAAATGAAAATTTCCTAATATCTAATTGTATAGAGGCTATAACAATTCCAGGCAGCTGATGAATAGATGAACAAAACAACTCTGAAGGAAAGCGCAAACCTGCTAATTTATCCAAAGAGCTATTAGGTTTTCCGAAAATATGAGAAATGGAAGAGGACAAATCTTTTAATAGAACCCGAATTCTTTGCAACACATTACGCCACTTCGATACCATCCCAGAGTTCAACAATCGAAACAAAATTTCCAAATCCACATCAACTAGCAATTTTTCTACCTCTGTATCTTTATAAAGCTGTAGCTCATGTAAACTCTTCGTCAAAGCATCCACCTCCCTAAACTCCTTAAAATAAGAACAAATCAAATGCCCCTCATGATCCCTAGGCAATCCACCCCTAATAGGCACGCCCCTGAAAAACGCATGCATCCATGTTTAGTTTAACAAATGGACAGAACGGCCTCCTCCAAGCAACTGTCACACTTCACATAACACGCAAGAAACATTTAGCAAATCTGACCAATGGATCATTAAGGTCACCTCGAAAGTGAGAAACTAAAAAAATCTTCACCATTCCCAATTGCTCGACAAATCTATCAATCGTAACAATGACTCTTAGCGCTTCCAATTGATCCCCTTCAAAATTCAAATTGAGCTTTATTCCTTGCCTTCCATAAAAACCATAAAATAATAGCTTGGAGAGCAGCCCTAATGTGATCCGTGGAAACAAAAGAGGCTGAGTAAAACCAAGATAAAACCATAGCAGAAGTCGACGAAGACATTATATTAAGAATGCCAAATCTCCGTCGGCAATGACTCCAGACCTCTGAAGCTAATGGACCTGTAAGAAGCGATTGCAGAACTGATTCTTCATGCGACATACAAGGACACCGTGAAACCAAAATAATTCCACATTTTTTAAGATTCAAATCCGTAGGTACTAGATGTTGCAGTACCCTCTAAGTACATAAAGAAATTTTTAATGGAACAATGTCATTATATATAAGCCTATCCACTGTGGATCTATTCCTCCGTTGTCTTAGAGCCTCCCAAGCTGACTTAAACATGAAAGTTCGTGTGGTTGACTCTAACCAGACCATGCAATCATCTTGATCCGGATATAATTGAATCTCATAAATTTTATGAACTAAATCCATGGGCAACCAATGCTTCAATCGTTCCACATTCCAACCAGCCTCTCCATAAAATTCAGCCAACAACACATGAGGTGGATCCTCAATAGAAATTATATCTGCTAGAGGCGAATCGAACAACAATCATTATACCAAAAATCAACAAAACCTTTGCCCAAGCGCCATCCAATCTTGCCCTATGCAAAATCTCGAATGTCTTATAGTCTTCGCCAAGCTAAAGGAGGCCTATAAACTAGTGCTTTAAAAGGATGACACCCTTTAATGTACATTGCATACATAAACTCCTCCCATATGGAATCATTGTTCTGCAGACGCCACCGGAGCTTAGATGCAAATGCCGAGCTCATATCTTCAAAGGAAACTAAACCACACCTTAGTATTCTGAAAGGCCACAACCCACGGTGCAGGGAGCAAGCTCCGCTACTTTTGATTTGTTAAACATTTAATAATAAATAATCATATACAAAAATATCATAAAAATACAACTAAAATAAGAAAATTTATAGAAAATACATATGACATTAATAATACTGAAAAACTTGGTTAAAATTCAGCATGCAAAAGTTGTAGGCATGTTTGTTTGGCTAGTGAATTATTTGCTAGGATATATTTGTCTAAATCATTAATGCATTTTTCAATGATTTTTTTTATTTCACATGCATCACATCAAAAAAGTAGTACAGTATTTCTTTCAAAAAATTATCCGAAATAATCTACTATCCAAGCACATGGTTAGATCTAACAATGGATAATTATTCCCATGAAATTTAGATATCTAAATTTCTATGGTATGTATAACTATGTGAAATGATAAATTTAAAAAAGAAGGTAGTTGCAAATTTTGAGGTT